AAACAATCAAGGTAAAGAGATATATTTCAGGGTGGCCAAATCTTGATCTCCCACACAGATATGTGCAACCATCACCACAGTCAATTTTAGGACATTTTCATCACCTTGAAAAGATATCTTTAGCTATCACCCTCCACTCTCCCACTCTTACGAGCCCTGTGCAACCACTAATTTACTTTGTCTCTAAAGAGTTCCCTATTATGAACATTTCATACGAATGGAATCATGTAATATGTGGTCTTTCGTGACTGCTTCTTTCACTTGGCATGGTGTTTTCAAGGTTCATCCATGTTGTAGCATGTATCAGTACTTGATTCCTTTTTATGGCCATATAATATTCCATTGTACGGCTGCACGACATTTTGTCTATCCATTCATTGGTTGATGGAATTGAGATTTTTTTTCCACTTTAGGCTATTATGAGTGATCTTAATTCCTTACTGCTATGTTAAGGACAGTGATAATCTTTTCATTTATTATGAGATTCTTTGCTGTTTCTGCATTTGGGGGAAGATTTTTTTTAAAAATGCTGAACGTTTGAGATTTTTAAGTCCTAACTCTATAAAAAGGGGGAATTCCACCAAGCCGTTTCCTCTGAGGCTTTAATTCGCTTTGATATGTTCTTTCCCCTCCACTTGGGGCTTAAACTTACCTAAGCATAGAGAAGTGTTTCCTTTCCAGCTTGAGTAAAATAAATTCATTTAGGAATGAGAATTTTGGTTTGTTAACAGATTTGTGGAAGTGTTGGAAATGTGCAGTGAAAGTTTTGTTTTTTGGGTTTTTTACCTTTAAACAAGGCTGTTTAAAAGAAACATTTGTGCTTGAGATAGATGGGAGAGGTAGAAAATACAAGATGTTCTAGGAACTGAGAGGAGACAAGGACCTAGGGGTGGATGGTTTATGTGACAGATAACAGGAACATTTGTCTTATCTTCCTAGTTAATGCAGGATGAGTCAAAACATCAGAACTTATCAAGAGTCAATTGTATTTACTCTTTGAGACTTCAGTGGGTTGGAGTGGCATGATACAATTTGGTAGTCCTGCTTGACGTAGCACATTCAGACAAACGCCTACCTAATAGATTGAAGGAAAACTGGTTACCATAGCATTGCCCGATCATTTGGGGGTTGGAAATCTTTTGGGATTTAGGAATCTGTTTGGGCTGTTGACAATGCTTCCCCCATCTCTCAGTTGTGATTACCTCCAAAACTCGTATAAAACTTTGAGTTAAGAAATCAAAGACCCATTGAAATCCATCTATGGTGTCTAGGTAAAACCCCCTAGGTGTGTCATTCACTTGTTCTCAACTAGGTACCAAAATTGATGCTGGACCTATTTCTTTTAAGGATTATAGTTTTTTTGGTTTTAGAGTCAGGTTTATCAAAGTATAATTTACGTACAATAAAATTCACCATTTTTAGTGTATAGGATTATAGTTTCTAATTACTTTTCTAGAGATTTTACACACGGGATAGTTGACAACCAGTAGCATTTATTATTATTTAGGAATAGAACATTGAACTCTGCAAGCAATTTTGTTTTAAACATATTAAACTTTATACAATATAAGCAGTGAAAATTTTGATGTGCATTTTCTTGATTTTTTTAAGTTAAAAATTTACGTTGTATAATTTGTGTGTATGTATATATGTAGTATATATTTACATATGAATATTTGTGTGTGTGTATATAAATTATATCTATTTTATGTTAGATTTGCCAGAGGGCCTTTTGGACAACATTAGTTTCATTAGCTTTATTATTGCAGGTTTAGTCAACATGTTTATAAATCATGGGTATGTAACTTTTGTAGTGTTTTCTCTATAATAGTAAAAGTTAAGGTGGTGTAAGGTAAACTATGTGGAGACTAATGTACTTAATTACTGAACAAATTGCTTTTGGGAAGAATTAAGAATGAAGTTTATTTAAATTAACATATTAAATTGTCAGTCACCCCCTACTGCCTGCCCCCCTCCTCCACCAGCACCATCTCCACCGCCTCTGCACCCCTGTCCCTGAAGAGATCCAAGTTGCTATAAAGCTCTACTATTAGAGTGGCTTTCATTTAGGTGCTAAATTTTAAATGGTAGATATACCCTTCCTGCTGCTTTAATTACTTAAGATGGAATGAATTAAAATATCTTGTTAGAATTCTGTTAACTTACATATAAAACACTTTTTGGTATTGAAAAATTTTTGTTTTAAAAATATAAGTAGGTTGCTTTTTTTTTAAAAAATTTTAAGGCATTATATGTTGCGTATTATCTCTTTGGATAGCATTGTGAGAGCCTTCCTATTTTTTGGCCTTTATAAAATATGTCTATGATCAACATTATGTGCATGGCAAATTCCCCTCTAAAACAGGTGAGCACTGTGATGAGGAGTACCACTCCTGATAAGCTGTACTGGAATTTCCTCCTGAGAAGTATTCACTTCACTCATGGAGTATTTGAATGTCTCTTTGTGCCTGTATATCTAGGTGCTGGATGTGACAGTGAACAAAAACCTCCTGTTCACGTGGAGCACACATCCCAGTGGCCAAGGCAGGCACATGAAATTTTATGTAGTCAGTTAAGTGCTCTGAGTTAAAAATAAAAAATCAAGCTTTATGATTTAACAGTAGCTATAATTAGAGGCAAAGATGAGTGTGCTTCTACTAGTAGGCCCCACTCAAAGGAAATGACTATGTCAAGACTTCACTACGAAAATACGTAACTATTCCATTCACAAATAGGTATTAACCTTATTTAAAACTGAAAAAAAATAAATAAATAAAAAGCTCATCGCCAGGCAAACCTTGCTATACATTTTAAACTGGAATCAGTAGATGAAACAAAAGCCTGAAAGATACCACATAAGGTAAACGTTCCTTTAGAAGAAATTGCTTCCAGTTTAGTAGGAAATTACCATAAAATTTATTTAATGTGTTTCTTAGCGGTTTTCTGTGTTCTGAGGGCCAAGAAACATTCTCAAGGGATTGTCCTTCAAATTTTGCAATTAAATTGATGAGTAAGTGGTTTACTATAAATTAATGGAAACTTATTTTGTTTTACTTTCCCAGAAACTTGTGACAGTTCTTGGAAACTAAGGACAGTTGAATTTGGTTTATACTGATGAAACATATACCTGCAGTTTACACTATAATAAAATTTAGTTACTGTTTTAACAGGCTCTCATTAGAATAACATGCACCGTGTAATAATACAGCTACAGGAAAGATGGTGAAAACATAGACAGCTTCCTATTGTACATTTTCCAACCCAGTGTAGATTTAGAAATGTTCACTTCTTTTTATATCTTTACTGCTCAAGTATATATTGATATATCATTTAGGTTAGTCTTTAATTCAAGACTCCAGGTAGAACATCAACTGCGCTCGCTCTTCATTTTTGTTAGCCTGCCTTGAGAGTCGTCTGTTCTGATACACCCGTTACATAGCTGTAAAAGGAAGCTCTTTGAAAAGGAAGGTCTTGAAGATAAAACTTAACTTAGGCCCCTGTCTCGTGATTTGGTATACAAGGAGGAAGTCTGATGGTGTGTTGGTGTGTGTGTGCGAGATATGTACTTCTTTCTCCTCCCGCCTCAGCAACCGGGCGGCTGTGACTGAATACTGTGCTGAGCTGCTTCATTTCTTGGTTAGCCGTGGGAAACGAGCTTCCAGTCAGGCCTCTCGGGTTAGGTAGCAGAGAAGCCCACCGTGGACACTCTACGATGCCCTTCCATTGCTTCTGTAGTCCAAAACCCCAGTAAATTTTTTGGGCTCTTTTTCATCACAGTTACTTTGTGATTTTAAAACATATTTCTGCCCTTGCTAATAACTTGGGAAACTGAAAGTTTATTTTTCTCTCCCCCTCCTGATAGGTGCTGGATAGTTTACTAGTCCAGTATGGAGTGGTGGAAAGCTGTGAGCAAGGTACATGTCTTCTCAATTGCTTTCAAATTTGTAAAAGACAGGAAGTAGAAAGAAAACTAACTTTTTTTCTCTTCATTTTTCTCTTTTCTTCTAGTGAACACTGACTCGGAAACTGCAGTCGTAAATGTAACCTATTCCAGTAAGGACCAAGCTAGACAGTAAGCAGTATGAAACCTTTTATCTACATGTAATAACTGGGTTAAGTATAATACTTACACTTTGGGCTGGTGGATGGCAAAAATAAACTTTAATTTGCAAAGTTTGACCCTGTAATTCTTTTTAAGTTTGAATGTCTAATAAGAATCCGCATTGATTAAGATTTTATTACATTTTCAATATATCTTTAATGCCAATAATAGAGTGATATAGTATGAAGCTGAACTACGCCCTAATTGCAGAACGCTCTGGGCCTAGGTATCGTTGTCATATGACATAAAGCCTTTTTTTTCTTATTTATATGATACATATATTTTTGCTATTTTATCCAAAGCTGGTAAGTTGATCACATGTTAAATTTTCTTGCTCACTGATTTTTCTAATAATTACTATTGTCATTTAAGAGTGTGCAGACATTGGACCAACATTGGACCATTTTAGATTGATGGAAAAAGTATATTCCAGTGCAATTGACAGACAAAACTTCATTTTAGGAAAAGATAATTCTCTAGGCTTGGGAATCATCTAATGAACTGACTGAGCACTAGAGAGAGAAAATGAGGATCCCACAAACGCTGCTTTTGACAGATCTGTGCAGAACACAGACATGGAGGAATGGCATGCATGGTGCCTAGCAGCACAGTGCTGAGTGTCAGCAGACCGTGGAAGTCTTGACCACCTCCAGCTACAGTACAGGCAGGAACAGACTCTCGATCCTTGGTGGGAAAGGTGAAAGGACAGACCATGCTGGCTGACCCAGAGCCTAAAGGGGAAAGGTGAAACCAGCTGAAAGATGGGAATTCAGCTGGGTTACCAGAGACAGTGCACTATGAAAGGAAAGATAGGCCTGGGAAGGAGATGAAAATTTGCATAACACCAGTGGAACTTTATTTTTAAAGTTGGTAATATTCACGTTCAAAATTTTAGAGGTCCAAAGATGTGTATAGTGTAAATCTTCCTCCCAGTGTTGTTCCCCAACTACCTTGTTCCCTTCCTAGGGAGATAACCGTGTGGAGGACAAACGCATGTGTGCATTTTTTTTCCTTTTTACACAGATTGATAGCATAACATTTGAATGTTTTATACATATAAATATATTTTTTATGGTTGCATAGAATTTGATTATATGGATATGGAATGACTTTAGTCCCAAATTGGATATTTATAGGTTGTTTCAAGTGTCTTGCAGTTATGAACAATGCTGTAGTGAATCCCTTTTTGCCTATGTCATTTTGCATGTGTGAGTATAGCTATAGAATGAATTCCTAGAAGTAGATTTGCTGAGTCAACATGTATGTGTATCTGATGTATTTGTGCATTTTTTTATTTTGTTAGATATTGTCAAGTTATCCTTCATAGAGGTTGAACTAGTTTAAATTCCCGTCAACACTGTGTGAGACAGTCCCTAACACAGGGCTTTATCAAATTTTGCCAATCTAGTAGGTGAAAAGTGGTATCTAATCATGTTAACTTCATTTTTTTCTCATTAGTGAGACTTATGAGATTCACTTTTAATGTTTTTTGTTTGTTAGTTTTGGTGTGTTTTTTTTGATGAGGAAGATTAGCCCTGAGCTAACATCTGCTGCCAGTCTTCCCCTTTTTTTGCTTGAGGAAGATTTGCCCTGAGCTAAGATCTGTGCCAGTCTTCCTCCACTTTATATGTGGGTCACCACCACAGCATGGCTGACGAATGGTGTAGGTTCACACCCAGGATCTGAACCTGCGAACCTGGGGCTGCCAAAGTGGAGTGGGCTATATTTAACCACTATGCCACGGGGCTGGCCCCCTCACTTTTAATGTTTTAATATGAGACTTGTAATATGTTTTAAAATATCCTATTTTTCCTTCTGTTTGTATCCTTCATTTAAAAAAATTTGCTCCTGTGCTTTTAAAAAAAATTCCAAAGTATTAAGAGTACAGGCACAGAAAGGGTAGACTGCTAGTCAGGGCAGAATTACTGCTGAAAATCATCCTAACATGGCAGTGAGCTGAATGTGGGGACATGTTAGTTCTTTTTTTTTTTTTTCTTAATTTTATTTATTTATTTTTCCCCCAAAGCCCCAGTAGATAGTTGTATGTCATAGTTGCGCATCCTTCTAGTTGCTGTATGTGGGACGCGGCCTCAGCATGGCCGGAGAAGCGCTGCATCGGTGTGCGCCCGGGATCCGAACCCGGGCAGCCAGCAGCGGAGCGCCTGCACTTAACCACTAAGCCACGGGGCTGGCCCCAGGACATGTTAGTTCTAAAAGTACTTTGTAGTGGTTGTTAGAGATTGGCAGGGTCCTACTAATCCCAAGGAGGAGGAAAAGACTGTTAGGAATGTATAATTTAGGTGATTAGACAATCTAAACAAATAAATTGGGCATTTCCATGGGGGAAATAGTCATCATACCTTTTATCTAATAGTCAATCAGTTAACATTTATTGAGGACCAACTCTTGACCAAAAGTTGCCAATGAATAAAGGCAAAGTCCCTGTCCTCAAGGATGGTGCCCCCTTGTGGTGAAAGAGTATTTTGAGAGAGGTTACCTGATTTTAATTCCTGCCCAAGTTGAGTTTCTTTATAAGGATATTGGGTTTTTCTCCTCCACAAGAATTCTGAAGATTAGAAAATAATCGGGTATTCAGAGAAGGTTAATAGATTTAAAGAATGAAAAAGTTTTGTGATATAATGTTATGAAAATTGTCTATTAAAGGTCTCTAGTAAGTTTTTTAAAAAAGGGATGGTGAGTACATTCTCATTCTATGAGGAGAATTAATTTTATTTGGATGTACTGGAGAAAGTGTGGATTCTGGGGTCAAGTAGCTCTCACTGTAACCTTGACCTCTCTGGGTTTGTTTTCTCAGCATGAAATGAGGTTGTCAGGAAACAAATATCTTCATGTATATATGTACATACTTTTAGAAAATAGTCTTATCAAATGGCCTGGCACATAGGTACCCAGTAAATAGTACCTCTTGTTCAGCCAACTGGTTCTAAGCTGCTTCGAGTACAGCTTGGAATGACTTGAGCTGGGGAAGGCTGGTCCCTCCAGGGCTTGCTCCACTGAGCCCTGCAAGCCTGCTCTGTGGGCTCTGCATGACTGTCTGCTGCCTGAACTAACCTGGTGTGATTTCTTCACACCCTTTCCTTGGCAGGCCACCCAAGCTCACATCTTCAGGTAGTGAGGGCTGAGTTGATATTTTCAGTTGACTTCTTTTCTTTCCTTAGCATCTGTTACTTGGGAGTCTGTGTAACTGGGATGTGCTTATGCAGGTGTGAGTGGAACTTGGAGGTTAAGAGGATGCATTCCAGAGGCCAGTTCCATGGAATGGACTCTTCTGTGCCACCACTGTTCTAGCTGTGACTCTGGTTAAGTTAATCTGTCTTAGTTCACCCCCATCTGTAAAATGGGAATTATAGTCCTTAGTGCATGAGGCTGTTGAGAGAAACAAACATAATGTGTCCAAAACACTTATCCTAATACTTCAACAGTAGTAAGAGCTCCAGACTCAGCAGCTGTTGTGCATTTTTCATTGCTGTTGATGATATCTTGTTTTTGTTCAGGGCATTTCATTTCAGATAATGACTGGCCACTGATACTCAGGCAACTAGTTTAAAAGTGTTTGTGGCTGCCTCTTTTTGTTACTTAAAGCTCTCTGAATGCCATTTTTGAGAGGATTGATTCCTCAATAAAGCGTGTCTCTAAGACAGAATTTAATGTGGAAATTTCTGCCACCTTGTGGCTAAGAAAAATCAGAGGTTCATAGTAAATATATTACTAGGAAATATATACATTTATTTCATTCTTAAGTCTCGAATTATTAATTTATTAAAATAATAATAAAATGAGTAAAAATAATGAAAACTTAAAAAAAAAATCATTAAAAACAGAAGTCTGTATTTAGTATTCCTTGTTCCTTGGAGCAAGAGAAGCTTGGATCTCTGAACACCTGTTTCCTTCCGGGGATGCTCAGATAGCACTGTCAAGGATAGACATTACTCATTGGAAGATTCATAATGTGTGACAAAGAAATAACCCTTTAGAATTTGTGGGCATTTCTTTTTTTTTTTTTTTTTTAAGTTTTTATTTATTTATTTTCCCCCCAAAGCCCCAGTAGATAGTTGTATGTCATAGCTGCACATCCTTCTAGTTGCTGTATGTGGGACACGGCCTCAGCATGGCCGGAGAAGCGGTGCGTCGGTGCGCGCCCGGGATCTGAACCCGGGCTGCCAGCATTGGAGTGCGCACACTTAACTGCTAAGCCACGGGGCCGGCCCCTGTAGGCATTTAGTTCTTATACTTTCTTTTCTTTAGGGCTCTTATTTCTGATGTTTATGTTTTGTTAGGGAATAGGAATATAGTTTATATTTCTAAGATATCATTGCAGATGCTTTTATATCAGTTTGAAGACCTATCAGGTACACACAGTTGCAGTTACAAGTGTTTGAAACAACTTGGCTAAAGGGAGGAAATTCACTCTTACACTTTAAAATTAATATAAATAGATGATGATAATGTAAACTTTAAAAATTATGTAAATAGATGATTTATTCTGGAAAAAGAAATAGCAGATAAAGCAGTGAGACAAAGGAATTTCTTGCCATTTTGCCATTCAGAGACAGCCACTGTTAAATTTGCCATCAAGTTTTATGGACTTTGTCCCATGCATCATAATTTGTAAAATTGCAAAGATCATTCTGTAGAGTTTTGCGGGTTGTCTTTCCATTAACTATGTTTATACTGTTTGTAGTCTCCACATAGTACTTCCTCTCTACCACAGTCTATGTATCCACTCCTCTACTGGACATCTGGGTTGCTGGCAGGTTTTTTGCTTTTAGAACCAGTTTAGTAATGAAGTCAGTAATATTTGTAGGTAAATATTTGGGCTTTGTCCATAATTATTTTCTTAAGTTGCTTCCCTGCAGTGGTATTACAAGGCCTTCAGTAATTATTGCTGAATTGTATGTCTCAACCTCTTATTCTTGGTACAAGCAGAAAACTGAATTATACGACTTTTCAATAATGGCTAACCCTGATTTTGTTAGGACCTGTATGATATACAGCAGTGAGGTCTAGGAATAAGAAAAACGAAATTTTAGACATGGAATTTTAGAGTTGAAAGGGACCATAAATCCAAACTTGTAGTTTTGTAGCTGAGGAAGCTAACACCAAACAAGAAGATGACCTTTCCAAGGTTACATGGCTACTTGTTGTTCCAGCTGGGCCGGAATTCCTGTCTCTAGTCCGTCCTCTTTTTCGCTATTAAGATCTGTGTGTGTGTACCTTGGGTAAGTTTAACTTCTCTGGGTCTCATTTCTTCCTCCTCCTTTTTCCCCCTCTTGAGTTAAACTACTTACTCTCTCTCAAGGCCCTTTCAGCTCTAAACTATGATCCACCCCAATAAACTTCTTATCAATACAGTTAAGTGCTACCATTTAGAAACACTACCCACCATCTTCTAAGTGACTCTTAAAATAGTGTCAGTGCAGAGTCAAATAATGATGGAAAACAGGAGCCTGAGTAAAATACATGTTGGATAAACAACCTTGAGTTTTGTTGAACTGAATGCATATGTTTTGAATAATTATGACAATTGTTTGATGAACAATGTCTTTCATATACAGTAGGTTTGGTGAAAATGTTACAATGTTTTCCCCGTGAACTCAGCAGACCACCAAATGATATAGCTGAATATCAGACTTTGTGCATAGAAAGGTTTTTCAGCAGTTGGACTTGAAATTCAGAAACTTAGAATCTTCAGTCATGAGAAGGCCATTGCTTACAGTTAGGTTACTCCTGTACTGTCTCAGCTCTGCCCAAGTTTGGAGCACTGTGGTTTGAGGGGTCAGGAACTCTGCTTAGCTGGCAGTTAGACAGTGGAATACACACAGTATGTGCTTTCTGCTCTCTGACAGGAGCAGCCCGAGTTTGGAGCCTTTGGGGCCCAGACTATGCGCTGGGTACTGGAGCACCGTGCTGTCTGACCTCCCGAGTGAGAGAGTCGTTTTTTTCCCCCTTAAAGAAAAAACTTTTTTACCCTTTTTTTTTTTTTTTTTTTTTTGGTGAGGAAGATTAGCCCTGAGCTAACATTTGTTGCCAATCCTCCTCTTTTTGCTGAGGAAGATTGGCCCTGGGCTAACATCTGTGTCCATCTTCCTCTACTTTATGTGTGGGATGCCTGCCACAGCTTGGCTTGATAAGCAGTGCGTAAGCCTGTGCCCAAGATCCGAGCCTGTGAACCCCAGGCTGCCGAAGCAGAGGGTATGAACTTAACCATTATGCCACCAGGCTGGCCCAAAGAAAAAAATTTTTAAAGCAGCACAGTGAAGTTTGGAAGTTATAGTTTATGCCAAGTTGAGAGAGTTGTTGTGTGAGACACAGGTGACTTTATTTTGACAGCCCCAGAATACATAGATGCATGTGGTGACTTACCTGTTTATCTCAGTTTGTCCGCATGGAGAAGAATGTCTGTCTCTCTGTATGCATGTCTCTTTCTCATTCAAGAGAAAAGTTATTTACTGTTTTTTGTAACATTACTGACTTAATTCCACAGTCAATATTTACTACTTCTCTTCTGAAGCTGGAAATACTCAAATTTTATAGTGGGAAAGGATATTATAGTGAACTATATTGCCTTTTATGCTCGTGGATACGGTTGATTCCTTCATGGTGTTCACATTTCCTTATGTTTTTGAAAGAACCTTCAAGGATCTGCTTCTCCTGGCCTTTGACAAGATTGAAAGTTGGTTTGAGTGAATATCTAATTGGTTGAAACTTCTGCAATTCCAACTTTCTGTAATACATATAGATCATAAATATTAATAAAATTTCTCAGCTGTTGTCTTCCTGTAGAAATAACCAAAATATTTTAGGGCCCTTAATCCACATTTCCCTTAGGAAAACGGGGGAAAGGGAGAAAGCAAGGAAGGAACAGTGTGTTAACTTAAGGTTCTGTTATCAGGCATTGGTAAATAAGTTGTGCTGTGTGCCTGCTATCACTCTGTGAAGCTTATGAAAAGAACGCCCTCTGACATAGAAATCATGTGGAAATATCCCAAGGTATATTGTATTTGAAAAGCAAGCCACAAAACTCTACATCGTGATCCCAATTATGCTTTTAACAAAGGTACTGAACACGTACACGTTTGTGTAAACGTGGAAAGCACAGGTCCATTTGCAGAAGTTATCACAGTTAATAATTCTGGGAAAGGTCTTGGAGAGTTGGTGACGGTGACAGAGAAATTTCTTGTTATTTTTCTGTGTGACTGGGATCTTTTATAGTCAAAGTTCATTTGTGTGCTAGGGGACTGTAGGACGGCCATGTAACAGGAGATTGAAGTGAGAAAAGAGGGCAGAATTCTGTGTCCTGCCCTCTAGGCCTGCCTTCCACTTCCATGCTTTCGCACCCTTTTTGGTGCTAGGACCATTTCTTTTTTTCTCTCTTCCATCTAAGTTAAAAACTTGAAAGATCTTCAAATAAGGAAAGCAGTATGTGAACCAGAAATGACCACTCTGAGGAACTAGAGAGACACCATTCCATGCCTGTTTTACTTTCTCTGCCCAAGGTGAACTCAGGGCCCATTGGAACAGAATCTGAGCAAAGAATCTGAATAATTCTAGGGACAGTTTTTTTATTTGTTTTTAATTTTGTTGTGTACTAGGGGGTGTGTATTATTACAAGTGTGTTTATGTGTGCTTTTGAAATCTTGGCCATGTCTTCTATCAATTTTTTGAGTTCTCCACTTTTAAAATACATAGGTAAGGTAGAACACAACAATTTGGATGAATCTTATAAACATGATAAGTAAAAGATGCCAGGGGCCGGCCCGGTGGCGCAAGC